AGKWMRTMWWYGAAGACCTTGGGCTGGACTGCTACCTTTTAAGTRTCATTTTCTGAACACGTCACCATAAGCATGTCAAAAAACAAAAACAACAAACAATCAAAGCAAGTGCTACCGCCGGTTTAAGCAGAGGATTTTAAAACTGCTTTCAGGGCAGGCAAATGACCGTTTAGATGGGAAAATGTTTCTCGAGTGGCAGTGACAATCGTCTTCATTCCTCAATGCATAGGGAGCGAAATAAGGAAAAGAAAATTTAATAAAAAAAAACTAGCAGAAACATGTCTGAAACCTTGTGGCGCCTTTGTCGAACCTAGAAGGAAAGGGTATGTGACACTGCAACAAGAAATAACTTTTTCTCGTTTAAACGGAGTTTGAGTGAACTACTTTCACAAGTGTGTTTCACACTTCATTACTAATTCAATCTTCTCTAAAAGTCTGGAGAGACTGCGAGTTGGATATAAAACGTACAGCCCAATTCCACATTTGACGCACTGCAAATGACAAGTTTGGCTGCTTGCGGCAGAGATGCACTCATGTACTACGGCCYMCTATYGARACAAACGTAATTTTTATYCAACTTTCCACAAATCGACTTTCAACCATTTCTGCGATGGTTTGACACTCGCTAACAAAAAATGACAACCGTGACTCTTTGTAAAGAAACAGTTCCACGAAGGCAATTCCACAAAAACACTTCSATTCCGAACACAAGRGTGTCAATTTAAAACGAACAGTRTCCCTACCAATCAAACTTTTATAAACGTTTCTTCTCCATTTGTTTCACATTCTCAAACCTTTTGCTCCWTATCGTGGCGGGCTACATGACGTCATCTTCCGCTCTAAAGAAATTATGGGATAACTTCTCCAAGCAGAAACCCTCATTATGCAGTACAGTGGAGAGAAAGAATTTCATAAAATCTTTCAAAACCTTCAAGATCTAAGTCATGGGCTTTCTCCATATTACAAACTACAACAACTACGTCATCAGCCTCGCATTGGTCTTACAATWTGACGTCACAAAATGTGACGTCACGAGGCATGAAAGGGGTTTTTAGTATTCGTTATTTACTGGCAATCGTTTTTATGGATTTTTACCACTACTGTAATTATAATAACTTCATTTGCGCCTTAATAATACTAATCTGTTAGATATCTTTGTCTCGCTTTCTTGGTATACTAAAATCTTTTTTAAAGCCAGCAAGTCTCGGGCATTGACATCAGACATCAACAGGATAAAGACGCTATCTATTTTTTCTGGAAAAGAAGACGATAGTCATTAAGTATGTGCTGTAATTTTGCTAAACAGCATAGTGTAGACCTTTGTATGAAAGGCCAGAGAATGTTTTCTAAGGGGCATAAACGTACCTTTTATAAAGAACCATATGAGAAAATGTACTTTTTAGAACTCTAAAGAATCTGAAATACAGTAGAAGAAACTTTATAAATATCCACTTGATATATATAGAAAGAACCGCAAAATAAACTAATAAACAATCATATTGTATATTGCAACCAAACATCCAACAAGGTCAGCAAATTGTCCTCTCCCACCCTCCGTCCATCGTCATTTCCCATTTACTCATCCTATTCTCACCTCGAGATGATCGTCGACCTCTTCGTCCACCCCTCCCCCGTACYGCGTTGTTGTCAAAGGGTTTGTCTACTCCAGGAACGACTCGCTTTTCTGGTGATTCTTCTTCTACTTTCTCTTCCTCTCTTCGTTTTAGACACGCTGCTTTGGGATTGAGATTTCGTTCTGAAATATAAAATCTCTTTCACTATATATATATGCATTTTGTGTTTAAAGTATCGTGGTATATGCTTTCGCGTTTCAARTTCGATTTTTGCTTCGTTGAGTTACAATAGTTTCCTTCACGATTTCCTGCACCGTCTTTGAAAGATAGCCATGCCTTTACAGCGACGTAAGACGACCATTGAGCGTGCAATAATAGATAACTGTGAACAACTGTCTGTGAAAGAAGGTTTCTATCACGCTCAAAACGATCTTTTGCTTTTGATACAATGTCACAAATTGCTCAATCAATCGCCCTTTGATAAAATTATGAATGCCCTTTGCTGGGGCGGACAAAAAATAGAGCGGATTTCGTATGAGTGGGAAACGGACGGTACWGTACMGTGACRGTAARCGTACTGTAACCAAATTCTAGTGCCCCACTGGTTCACCAAAATTGTGCAGGCCAGGTCCGGTAACTGTGCGGTAACCGTGCGTTAACGGTGCCCCACTCATGCGAAATCCGCTCTAGTATGTTAGCCTCTTCCGTTTACGATGAGAAACATACCTCGAACTTGAGATTCAAGACTTGTAATGACAGATACAGCTTGATGYAGTATGACAAGCTGAAAAAAATAACAAAAACATCAGTATGCCAATAACAGTCATCTCTRACAAATGCAAACATCTTTGACACACAGCAATATTTTTTCCTCCTAGAAATTCAATTCGCATGCAATAATCCTGTCCATAATAATGAGGTTCTCTACAGGCAGTAGTTGTCAACAGTTGACAACAATTTCCGCYTCATATAGGTTTCATTGAAGCATTAGTTCTTCATTAGTGTTAGACGCATTGTGGTGAACTCTGAAATATTCTGGGTTTTTAACAAAAAATGTACTGCGTGTAAATTCCGTATAAATAAACGACTGTATTGACACTTGGGAGTCAAGTCCGGAGTCAAGTCAAGTCAAAGAAGTAGTTATCACAAGAAATACGCAGCCGCATTGCGCATGATCGATCTGACACAGAAAAACTATTGGGAATAGTAGATATCAATTCAAAGATATTCAAAGAGATAATAAGACAAAGAAGGAGAGAGCATCGCGGGCTCACGAAAACCCGAAATGTGAGCTTAGAAATGACAAAATTTGGCCGTCAAGATGAGGTTTGACGAYTGTTTTTACCTTAGTTTGGGGGATGTTACTCCCGCTAGAGGCGTCATACATAGACCATTCCTTCGACGATGGTTCACGACGGGGTTTAGGTGCACTTGGTCTTTCCTTTTCCTTTACAAAAACAACGAAACGTACATGTAATGTAGCAAGCAGCCAATTGATAATAAAAACTGGTCGACAATTCCTGGGTCTTGGACACTTCACAAGCCTACTCATAGCCAATCTGAAGGGWCTGGGGCGAGGACGAACGGCTACGGATGACGCCAAACGAGAGCCATTTTACTCCCCTTCACTGAAGGTTCTACTCGGTTATTAAAACCGGCTATAAAGCTAACTGCTACAGCTACTTTATGTGTATGATTCAGCGTCGAAAAGTGTCCAGGAATCGAGTGTACTCGATTTTGCCACGGAAACGTGCGACAGACTGCCTTCCTAACTCATTTTGTGGTTTTATTTTCATATTGAACTCGCGCATAGCGAGCGAGCACGAGTGTGCGAAATGCGCTCAGGTGTAACGTGGCTAAACAAATTATAAATTATCGCAAATCGAGCGAGAAGTTAGATGACAGAACAACCAAATTGAGTTTCGCATAAAAAACGTACTTAAAACTACATTTTTGCATGCCTCGGATAGCATATGCAACCTCYCAAGGTAGTAACATATTAGCTGACATTGAGAATATATTATAGATGATCACAACTTCGGTACTACTCACTCCAGGCGCAAAAATGCCATAGGTTTTTTTTCAAAACTCATACAAAATCTTATTCAAGAAATTGTGCTCTTTACTATGTAAATATCTTTCATTGATCCCGCCACTATAAAATATCATTATTGATAWAGGGGGTCTAACTTTCATTCCCATCATCCTCCGCGATCTACCCTTGRTTACGTAAGAATATATAATATCTTTATTTACCTTCGTCTGGGGTTTGGAGTTTTGTAGATGCATTTGGCACATCCGTCCAAGCTCTTTGAAAGCCTCATTTATGTCACGTACACGCATTCTAGTGGAAGGGAAAAATGAAAATGGAGTAATATTAGATAATTAAATAATATCCGTCCAAYGCGAGAATGAATAAAAGCGTCTGCAATAGAAGTGTTTTTATGTGGAATTTTCAGCRTACGGCGTCATGGGATAATTAACTCAGCTTCAACCAAAGATTGCTTAAAATTATTGAACATTATAAGCAGTACAGCAAGAAACGTAAACTGTTGTCATGCATCAAGCAGGAAAAAAAACTCGCGCGACGGCCTTTTTGGGAGAGAAAGACTATAGAAGATTGCATCAAAATTTTCAGAAAAGAAAATAGAGAGATCGGTAGATTTCCTATCAAACTTTCTTTGCATTTTTTTTTCTTCTTCTATCTCTGTTCTTTTTTTATAATAGCCTTTTGCAAATAGATGTTAAAAGAAATGTTAAAAGGCGACAAATATGAATAACTGAGCAGGCGAATGAAAAAGTAAATAAAAGAATGAATAAATAGATGATCACATTAATGAATATATCATATATATATATAAATAGATTATTTTTGTTAAATTCGACAATAAATATATGAATGGGCGCATGATTGCATATTGAGAATTCATGCGAACAAATTTTTAGGACCAAAACTAACGAAAACGTTTCAATTCAAAATGGCCGCCACGCAAGCCGTAAAAGCCCACTAACTCACCGTTCGCGTGTATTGTTAGCAACCCTTCGTTGTTTAATACTCGTCAGATCCCCATCGAAAAGACTGAAACGATTTTATGTGTCAGATAATTCAAGAGATCCCAAGGGGGGGATCCCAAGGGGGGAAGAGAAAGTAATGAAGACAAAGGAAGGAAGACTCAAAATGGCCGCCACGCGAGCATGTTTTTTTTGGTATCATTTTGAGACCTACCTCTCCCGAGCATTATTCGCGAACCTTCGCTCCTGTTCTCTCACCACTCGGTCTCTGTCTGTTTCCATGAAGTCGTCATTTTTGCCGTCTTCTCCCACCAAACTACCCGTGTCTTTGTCTAAGCTGTCCATTTTATCCTCGGCCTTGACTGAATCTTGATTAACATTTGCGTCGTCTTTGTCTGTGGAATTCGAACGACAACCAAAGGTTAATCACTGCGAATTTTTAATACGTTTTTGAATATACTCTCTAAGAGGTCACCACGTGAAACTGTATATGGTAAGACGACGTTAGCTTGTTTATAATGCGCTGTTGTTAATTATTGTTGTTATTTTGCAAATTGTTCATATTATTGTCGTTGTTATTGTTGCATCATTTCTCTCTCTTGTTCATATTCAATCATAGATAACCATTAAAACACGATATACTATCAAACAATAAACTGACGTGCAATCTACATTGATTACAAAATTCAAGTGAAATTTCTTGCGAGAACTTTCAAAAAGGGCTCTATTCAAATCACTTCATTGTTGAGACAATAGGTTTTTAAAGATTCTATGAAGAGGTGTTTATAGCGTCTGGCGGGGCCTGTTGTTTGTGATCTAATAATATCATACATCTGGTGTCACTGATATCTGAAGTCGCTGGTGACATCTGCGATGATAAAGCTCGACTAGATAATCCCCCCGGTGACGTCATGCTATTGGGATCTTCCTCCATGTTGCTATGGTTATTGTTCTATGGGGAAAGAAACAAACAAAAATGAGTAAATGAATGAATYGATGAATGAATGAATGAGCTCAGACAGAAATTAACGTGTAACAAGGAAATGTAAGAATCAATAAACGTATCGATTTCAATGCTCCACAATTTTGTGTTCTATCTTGTGCAGTGTTATGTCCGTGGAAGCGCGTGGATTTTGCGTGGGAAGCACACACTTTTGGAAATTTTGCGCACGACTGAGGCTAATGCACGACTGAGTTTGTAAGCGCTAATCGCATTTGCTCATGTCATCATCATCATTATCATCATCATCATCATCATCAGTATCATCATCATTATCATCGTCGTCATTATTCATATAATTGCCATCATTACTGATATTATTACCATTGTTAACATTAATATTTTAATGATCTTCATGAATATCATTCATTTTCATCACTACCAATATTTGTATCGTCATCAGCACAAATATCATCATCATAARGGCTGCTTACCAYCTGGTCTAAGTGTGACGACTGAATAGTCGCCGAGTTGTATCCCGCAACTGAAACGCTTGTTGTTGCCGCGGCACCAGCAGCGCTYGAATACATTTCACGTAAAGCAGGAACATTTGCTTCGGCGTGGTTGCGTAATACGTGGATTGCATCATCAAGCCTTTCCTCGATTCGGCTTTGCTGGAAAATTAATGAAAAATACAACGTTACTTTCATGTAGCTTTGAATGTGGCGAAGGAAGCTGACAAGCTTTACTGTGCTGTGGCTGGTAAGTAATGCTAGTAAATAAAGTTTGATGACTTGTTTTGATATTTTAGAATTTTAGTGAAAACTAAGAAAAATAAGTAACAGCATATAGACTAGTCGTTATATTAGTTGTAAGAAATAATATCGCTATAATGTACCTTAGGTGGCATATATTGCATGTTTTGTAATTCTATAGGGTTACTGGAGCTCCTTGGTTCTCTCTGTTGAGAAAAGAAAACGAATTAAGGTTGGAAAAAAAGCACGAATGAAACTTTGCCTGATGAGCGGTTTGAAATCCMGGTKGTTGATTTATTCGAGGTATCAYRTGCAAATCTCTWGCCTGCTTGGACATCTTTTACTCAAATTAGCGTGCGACCACATGTAGCAYGACTTTTGTTTGCGATATT